GTGACTGTGAGTCAGTGAACTTTGGCAACAAGTTCATACACTGTTCCAGCTGCAGCCCGACAGATTAATGTCGGCAGCGGAAAGATGAACGGGACGCAGGTGGCCGAACTGTGACCTTATTAACCTTCAGCACGAGAGTTGTGATGACGAACCAAGAGCTGCTACGTCAACAATGATGTCTGTCAGATACCTTTTATCTTACATCGAGTTGTTTCAAAACGTTTTATAATGTAGATACGCTTTGTAACAACGAGTTGTAAGATAAATGATGTATGACAGGCACGAGTGCTGTAATCGATTTCTTACACACCACAAAAACGCACCATTTTAGTATCGATTCGATGCATATGTTATCAGTACATATTCATAACACCAGCATATTGCTTGCTTAAAACTGATACCTACAAACATTCTATAAAGTAGGTATTGGAGTAGCCAATCACGGAGCAAGCATTCGATCTCGAACATATTTTTATACCAGTTATCTCAAATGGGTTTCTCAACCACAGGGGCGGAAGAAAAAACAATATTGAAAATAAGATGACATGTGTGGCTATGAAGTATAAAGTGCTGCGAGTAAAATTACGTGGCGCCAGTATCCGTGGAATGTCCCATCGTTCTGTTTATATATGATCCCAAGTCTATCCGCTGCATTCATTAAGGCGACGTGCCCTTCTCACTGCATTCATCAAAGAGAAGGGAACTTTAACAAGTTGGGCTTAACTCACACAGAGTGAGTGAGTGAGTATGGTTTTACGCCGCTTTTTGCGATATTCCAGCAATATCACGGCGACACCAGATGTGGCCTTAACACATTGTACCTATGAGGGGAATCGAACCCGGGTCTTCCACAAGTCAAGCGAACGCTTCAACCTCAAGGCTACCATACCGCCCCACTCCCACAGAAAGTTGATATGCTTCAATATACATGAACAACTGTTCAAAGCGACGTTAAACGAATTTTAGACAGTCATCATTTATAGTACAAAACGATGCATTACATTGGGCTTTCCCACACAAATAGACCCTACAATCACTTAACAGTCTTCTGCAACATCTACCATTTCCCTTGGGAGTATTCCAATATAAAAATTTTTACGACTAAACGGAGATATGGAAAAAAATCCTTATTCCCCAACCTGATCATATTCTTCACAGCCGTGGTACCTCCGGGTTGGAGTGGGTTCCCAGTTATCTGTGAGAATCTCAAGAGGCCGACCATTTGATATTCTTAGAGGGGTGTTGGCACAAAACATACATTGTTTCAAGCTGTTTCTGAAAATTCTGTTTAAAAATCTTGTTTTGCAGATGCAGCTGAAACAATAGCTACATGTAGTCACTATACAGGATCCCCGTCCCTCGCCCGAGAATAGCAAAAACTTGGTCCCTATGAGGCTCGTAAATGGACCAGGTTTTAAAGCGACCAATTATGTCCACGACCTAGCTATATGTGAACTTTACTTTGTAGGTTTCTGCACGTGGAGACTCGGGTGCAGAAGCCTATAACACTTGTGTAAGAGTCACACTGTGCGACCTGACAAGTGAGTTTCTTGTGCTCTATTTCACACATATGTCTGTACGGTATGTGAGGAATGCCTGACGCAAAGTTCATAGACTTACGTAAGGATAAAACACGAATCCGAGGTAAATCCCGAGGAAAGCGGTGACTCGCTAGCCCTAGATTTACTAGCGAGTTACCGCTGGCCAAAAGTTTTACCAGAACCGTGGAGGGGTGTTGTTATCCGACTTATGAACCGTCGAAACAAGATTTATCAATATGTGTTATGTATTATGTAAGTGTTTTACGACATGTCTAAAGAAACGATCGTCAAATGTATCAGTCTAGGATATATTCGCTAAAAATGGTACCAGTTTTGTGCTCTAATGGTTAAAGTGCCTGACACCGATTAAGATTCCTGTCATCCATAATGAAAAAGTTTCATTTCTTGTCTTTGATTTGACGGTTGAAACATGAAGTCCAAACTGCATCTGCTTCTTTAATAGCCAGGTCTTACCAGGAAAAAGTAAAACCTCCTACCCGGGAGGAGGTCTTACTAAACAAAAATTAAACCTCGTGAGAGGTAACACCAAAAAACCAAACTGACGTCCAACCCAATGGTCAATATCTGTCATGAGTTTATAACAGTTCGGCTAAACTCCTGATCACCAATACAGGTTTTGTGTTGACTAACATGGGTCGTAGTCGGGGCTTGTCTGTTGTTCCAAGTACGGTCAGCGGATCTCTTCACGACCAAGGGAGGCAACTGAGCAAAGCCAGTCACTGTTACTCCGAGTGTGTTGGTGCCTTTGTCCACACAGCCACTATTACCCCGAGTGTGTTGGTGCCTTTGTCCACACAGCCACTGTTACCCCGAGTGGTGTGTTGGTGCCATTGTCCACACAGTCACTGTTACCACGAGTATGTTGGTGTCTTTGTCCACACAGTCACTGTTACCCCAAGTGTGTTGGTGTCTTTGTCCACCCAGTCACTGTTACCCCGAGTGTGTTGGTGCCTTTGTCCACACAGTCACTGTAAAACCGAGTGTGTTGGTACCTTTGTCCACACAGTCACTGTTACCCCAAGTGTGTTGGTGTCTTTGTCCACCCAGTCACTGTTACCCCGAGTGTGTTGGTGCCTTTGTCCACACAGTCACTGTTGCCCCGAGTGTGTTGGTGTCTTTGCCCACACAGTCACTGTTACCCCGAGTATGATGGTGCCTTTGTCTACACAGTCACTGTTACCCCGAGTGTGTTGGTGCATTTGTCCACACAGTCACTATTACCCCGAGTATGATGGTGCCTTTGTCTACACAGTCACTGTTACACCGAGTGTGTTGGTACCTTTGTCCACACAGTCACTGTTACCCCGAGTGTGTTGGTGTCTTTGTCCACCCAGTCACTGTTACCCCGAGTGTGTTGGTGCCTTTGACCACACAGTCACTGTTACCCCGAGTGTGTTGGTACCTTTGCCCACACAGTCACTGTTGCCCCGAGTGTGTTGGTACCTTTGCCCACACAGTCACTGTAACCCCGAGTGTGTTGGTGCCTTTGTCCATACAGTCACTATTACCCTGAGTGTGTTGGTGCCTTTGTTAACACAGTCACTGTTACCCAGATTGGTGTGTTGGTACCTTTGTCCACACAGTCACTGTTACATCGAGTGGTTGGTTGGTGTCTTTGTCCAAACAGTCACTATTACCCCGAGTACGATGGTGCCTTTGTCTACACAGTCACTGTTACCCCGAGTGTGTTGGTGCCTTTGTCCACACAGTCACTGTTGCCCCGAGTGTGTTGGTGTCTTTGCCCACACAGTCACTGTTACCCCGAGTGTGTTGGTACCTTTGCCCACACAGTCACTGTTGCCCCGAGTGTGCTGGTGTCTTTGTCCAAACAGTCACTGTTACCCCGAGTATGATGGTGCCTTTGTCTACACAGTCACTGTTACCCCGAGTGTGTTGGTGCATTTGTCCACACAGTCACTATTACCCCGAGTATGATGGTGCCTTTGTCTACACAGTCACTGTTACACCGAGTGTGTTGGTACCTTTGTCCACACAGTCACTGTTACCCCGAGTGTGTTGGTGTCTTTGTCCACCCAGTCACTGTTACCCCGAGTGTGTTGGTGCCTTTGTCCACACAGTCACTGTTACCCCGAGTGTGTTGGTACCTTTGTCCACACAGTCACTGTTACCCCGAGTGTGTTGGTGTCTTTGTCAACACAGTCACTGTTGCCCCGAGTGTGTTGGTGTCTTTGCCCACACAGTCACTGTTACCCCGAGTGTGTTGGTACCTTTGCCCACACAGTCACTGTTGCCCCGAGTGTGTTGGTACCTTTGCCCACACAGTCACTGTAACCCCGAGTGTGTTGGTGCCTTTGTCCATACAGTCACTATTACCCTGAGTGTGTTGGTGCCTTTGTTAACACAGTCACTGTTACCCAGATTGGTGTGTTGGTACCTTTGTCCACACAGTCACTGTTACATCGAGTGGTTGGTTGGTGTCTTTGTCCAAACAGTAACTATTACCCCGAGTACGATGGTGCCTTTGTCTACACAGTCACTGTTACCCCGAGTGTGTTGGTGCCTTTGTCCACACAGTCACTGTTGCCCCGAGTGTGTTGGTGTCTTTGTACACACAGTCACTATTACCCAGAGTGTGTTGGTACCTTTGTCCACACAGTCACTGTTACCCCGAGTGTGTTGGTGCCTTTGTCCATACAGTCACTATTACCCCGAGTGTGTTGGTGCCTTTGTTCACACAGTCACTGTTACCCCGAGTGGTGTGTTGGTACCTTTGTCCACACAGTCACTGTTGCCCCGAGTGTGTTGGTGTCTTTGCCCACACAGTCACTGTTACCCTGAGTGTGTTGGTACCTTTGCCCACACAGTCACTGTTGCCCCGAGTGTGCTGGTGTCTTCGTCCAAACAGTCACTGTTACCCAGAGTATGATGGTGCCTTTGTCCACACAGTCACTGTTACCCCGAGTGTGTTGGTGCATTTGTCCACACAGTCACTGTTACCCCGAGTATGATGGTGCCTTTGTCTACACAGTCACTGTTACCCCGAGTGTGTTGGTGCCTTTGTCCACACAGTCACTGTTACCCCGAGTGTGTTGGTGCCTTTGTCAACACAGTCACTGTTGCCCCGAGTGTGTTGGTGTCTTTGCCCACACAGTCACTGTTACCCCGAGTGTGTTGGTACCTTTGCCCACACAGTCACTGTTGCCCCGAGTGTGTTGGTGTCTTTGTCCAAAAAGTCACTATTACCCCGAGTGTGTTGGTGCCTTGGTTAACACAGTCACTGTTACCGAGAGTGGTTGGTTGGTGCCTTTGTCCACACAGTCACTGTTGCCCCGAGTGTGTTGGTGTCTTTGTCCAAACAGTCACTATTACCCCGAGTGTGTTGGTGCCTTTGTTAACACAGTCACTGTTACCGAGAGTGGTGTGTTGGTACCTTTGTCCACACAGTCACTGTTATCCGGGATGTGTTTGTCCACACAGCTACACCATCTCTGATTTGTCACACACCCTCTCTGATCTGTCATACATCCTCTCTAATCTATCACACATCATCTCTAATCTGTCACACACCCTCTCTGATCTGTCATACACCCTCTCTGATCTGTCACACACCCTCTCTGATCTGTCATATACCCTCTCTGATCGGTCACACACCCTCTCTAACCTGTCACACACCCTCTCTGATCTGTCATACACCCTCTCTAATCTGTCACACACCCTCTCTGATCTGTCATATACCCTCTCTGATCTGTCATACACCCTCTCTGATTTGTCACACACCCTCTCTGATCTGTCACACACCCTCTCTGATCTGTCACGCACCCTCTCTAGTCTGTCACACACCCTCTCTGATCTGTCATACACCCTCTCTAGTCTGTCACACACCCTCTCTGATCTGTCATATACCCTCTCTGATCTGTCACACACCCTCTCTGATCTGTCATATACCCTCTCTGATCTGTCACACACCCTCTCTAATCTGTCACACACCCTCTCTGATCTGCCACACACCCTCTCTGATCTGTCATATACCCTCTCTGATCTTTCACACACCCTCTCTGATCTGTCACACACCCTCTCTGATCTGTCACACACCCTCTCTGATCTGCCACACACCCTCTCTAATCTGTCATACACCCTCTCTAATCTCTCACACACCCTCTCTGATCCGTCATATACCCTCTCTGATCTGTCACACACCCTCTCTGATCTGTCACGCACCCTCTCTGATCTGTCACACACCCTCTCTGATCTGTCATACATCCTCTCTAATCTATCACACATCATCTCTAATCTGTCACACACCCTCTCTGATCTGTCATACACCCTTTCTAATCTGTCACACACCCTCTCTGATCTGTCATATACCCTCTCTGATCTGTCACACACCCTCTCTGATCTGTCACACACCCTCTCTAGTCTGTCACACACCCTCTCTGATCTGTCATACACCCTCTCTGATCTGTCATACACCCTCTCTGATCTGTCATACACCCTCTCTGATCTGTCATACACCCTCTCTGATCTGTCACGCACCCTCCCTCACCTGTCACACACCCTCCCTCACCTGTCAACACCCTCTATAATCTGCCACACACCCTCCCTGACCTTTCACACACCCGCTCTAATCTGTCAAACATGCTCTGTAATCTGCCACACACCCTCTCTGATCTGCCACATACCCTTCCTGATCTGTCAAACACCTTCCTTGATCTGTCACACACCCTCCCTGACCTGTCAAACACTCACCCTAAGCCTCCCTGAACCGTAACACACACACTCCCTGACCTGTCTCAAAACACCCTCCTTGACCTGTCACACGCACACCCTAGCCCCCTTATCTGTCACGCACACCCTCGTTTATCAGTCACGCAGACCCTCATGGCCTGTTACCCATACCCTCCCTGATCTGTCACACACCTCATCTCTCTGATACCTCTCCCCATCCCCCCAACCCCCACCCCCACCCCACACACACACATACCACACCCTTATTTGTCAACCCACAGTACAAAATCAAATTAAAAAATCGCTCAAAGATATTCTGGATTCCATAAAGAGGATTGGCATGCTATGTGATACATGACGACAATGTTAAAAATAGAAAATTATGCAAATGAAGACACATTACATTAACTTGTTTTTATGTTTTCGTCTGTTCCAAATCGCAAGCATGTTTGACCTTCAGCCATGATCAGCCATTCTTGTTCTATATAAAATGTACATAGTGTTTATTTCTATATCTATGTTTATTGACATTTTTCACCCACGAACCCCAAACAAAAATATATGTTCTTGTTCGTGGGGTGTACTGAGAGTTGCTGCGGTAGATCTGGGTGGTCTGGTGGTTAAACCGTTCGCTCGTCACACAGATTTCGAGGGTTCGATTCCAATTTATTTTAATATTACTCACTATTTGAGCATCAAAATAGATTAGGGGCGGTCGGGTAGCCTTGTGGTTAAAGCGTTCGCTCGTCACGCTGAAGACCCGGGTTCGATTCCCGACATGGGTACAATGTGTGAAGCCCATTTCTTGTGTCCCCCGCCGTGACGTTGCTGGAATATTGCTAAAAGCGGCGAAAAATCATACTCACTCACACACTAAAAATATATTAATTCAAACGTGTTGCTAACAACTATAAGAGTAAGTGAGTAAGTGTGAGTGGTTTTACGCCGCTTTTAGCAATATTCCAACAATATCAGGGCGGGGGACACCAGAAATGGGCTTCACACATTGTACCCATGTCGGGAATCGAACCCGGGTCTTCGGCGTGACGAGCGAACGCTTTAACCACTAGGCTACCCGACCTCCCCAACAACTATAAGAATTAACACTACTAAACATTACTGTTTATATATATTCTGAAAACTCTTTAGGTGTCTTCTCTTCATTTTGTCGCAGTCTCTAAAGTACAGCTAAATATCCATTTGCAACGCATCTTCATAAACAAGATGTAGGATTCGACTGTACCTGGTACGTAGCTCTGTGTTCATAGTGTTACATACTATGGTTGTAACTGAAGCTATACACACAGACTTTGTAATGTGACCACATTCCTTCGCATACGTTCAGGGCAGTCGGGTAGCATAGTGGTCAAAGCGTTCGCTCGTCATACCAAAGACCCGGGTTCGAGTCCCGACATGGGTAAAATGTGTGAAGCCCGTTTCTGGTGTCCCCCGCCGTGATATTGCTGGAATATTGCTAAAAGCGGCGTAAAACCATATTCACTCACTCACATACGTTCTAATCATGGTTGCACATTATCAATTTGTGATAAACTTGCACCTTAAACATCACCAGTTTCAACTTTTTCTTCTACTTCTATTTACATTAAAAAAATGTATAAGAGACAATGACACAAAACACACATGACCCATAAACCCAACTTCTGAACTGGTTACATAATTCGTTTTTTGCGTAAGTACTTATATAAATAGTCTGTCAGATTAATGAGAGACTCGTGCAGCACACCACCGTCTCTAAGTGTTTAAAGCAGTAATTTATCATGGCTGTCATTTGGGGGATTCGTCCAAATGGTTTCGTGCAGAAAGACAAACTTTCAATGAAAGAGCGTTTTTGTTTCTTCAGTTTCTAAGACTGCGCATAAAAGTGGACGTACTTTTTTTGTTAGTGACAACTTTAACCGCATGTGAAAAATATCAATTTTCTCTTTATAACATGTAATGAACATTCAGCGTTTGTGTTTGTTTTAACGATTTGGGTCAAATTCTCATTCCTTCAAAAAACGTGCAGACAGAGCGATCCAAAAAGTAACAGGGCGTCTGATGTTCGTGCTGTAAACGTAATACCTCTTTGTGTAACACGAGACGGTGGACAAGCGCATGTTAAACGAAATTGTATGCATACAATAAAATAAATAATGTGTGTATTTAGAATGTGCCAAATACACTCCATAAAGCATGCTCGATGCCTATGGTCAATGGATCAGTGTGCAATCGATTTTCACTCTCACTGTGGAGTATACAATAGGTGACTTATTACTTGTCCTGGCCAAAGGATAACCCCTATTGTGTTTGTTTAAACTAAAGGGACATCTCAAAAACTGTAGGGGTCCGGTGGATGGTTGTAACGCCAAAATAACGATTCACGACAAAAAAATACACGTTTTCACCTTCACATCTCAATTTTATTGTGTTGTCAAAACATGCATTAAATGATCACAGTCACTTTTGTTTCTTGATGAATCCTTGATGAATTCTTTGAATACAACAGTTGTCCTTCAGATTTGTTTGTTCTAATTCATAATGTACACGATAGGAATGCCCGGTGGTTTTATTATCATGGAATATTTTTAATTTACGATGAATATTCTTTATATTTGACGAAAAATTATATTACTGCGAGTTTCATACATCTAACAAATGATTGAATTATGAATTTTAAATGCAGAGTTATCACCCATCACTGCACGTTCATGTCTGCTTCATTGCTTCGTTATCTATGAATTATCATTCTTTCAAATATTAAGACATATTACATCTATTATAATCATCAGAAACAATTAAATGTCAGGGTTTAGATGGGAAACTCGTTCATCACATAACCTTACGCAAGACAGTGATGAATGATAACTCAGTAGCATAAATGTTCCTGGTTCGTGGAAACAAGCCCCACACACGAATACCCTCGACCCACGGTGCACGGCGGCTGCAGTTGAAGACTTGGCGAAATATCATCATGACCCTGTTGGTGTTACTTCTTGCTGGGCTGGTACCAGCATCACTTGGCAGCATCTGTTGCCCCCCTGAACAGTGGGAGGCGTACCAGTTCATCAGCCGCGTCGACTCCAACGGCGGATACGAGGTATGTTGTTCTGCAGATACACAGTACTGAAGCGCGTTAAATCAATGGGTATGGGCGACACGTCCGTCTGAGGCGCTAGAGGTGAGGTGAAATTGGGTTTAACGTCGCGTCCAAGATTATTTATAGCGACGTGTGTGTGTGTGTGTGTGTGTGTGTGTGTGTGTGTGTGTGTGTGTGTGTGTGTGTGTGTGTGTGTGTGTGTGTGTGTCTGCTTGTACTAGTCCGTACTGATGCCGATTTATAGCGCTAGCTCACTGAGATACCATGCCGCAGTTGCGATAACCCGCTCAGACACAGTATACTGACTCCGAGCCGACCAGTCCTTGTTTTAGCCCCTTAATGCCGAGCGCCAGACAGGGTAACATTTTATAACGTCTTTTGGTATGACGCGGCCGGGGATCGAACCCCGGACCTTCCCCTATCCGAGCGGACGCTCTACCACAAGACCACGGAGGTGGTCGGAGGCGCTAGAAGTATGTCAATGGTCATGTCAGAATCGGCTACTGGATAAAATTTGTTTAATGTGAAGTCTTTCGTTGAAAGCTTCGACGTTCATACAGTTTGTCCATCACTCTATGAAGGTTCATACTCCAACGAACTCACACAAAATTAAAGTCAATTCTTAAATAAACATCAATGTTGGGGTGGGTTAAATGTTAAAAAAAAAACTTGGTCCCAGAAAAGACGGGAAAAATGATTTTGCAAAACATGCAAATTGATCGTTTGACTAGATGGATATCATCAGAAATATGTTTAAAGAAAGAGAAAATTAGTGCATTCCACTTTTCTAGTTTGAAGCAGTGACCAATTTGATCTTCATCTCCAACAAAAATGCCACAGGCCAATAAGGTGAAATAACAGTACGATGTGGCCATGTTATGGCGATTTTTCAAATAAGTTATTGTAAGATATATGTTAGTGAGGGAATCGAAGTTGCTATATCCCTCAGCCAGCAACACCAAGTGCTTTACGCCGGTCACTAGTCAAGGTGACAGCTTATGGTAAAAACGTAAAAAAATAACTTGTAAATATAGGTAAGCTTCTTCTTGACTTGACCGTCTTCGATCCCCGGCAGCGTCATTACAAAAGTCGTTAAAAGATGGTACTTGTTGTTACCCTGTCTGGCGCTCGGCATTGAGAGGCTACAACAAGAGCTGGTCGGCTCAGAGTGGGACAAGCAAGCACACACACACACACACACACACACACACACACACACACACACACACACACACACACACACACACACACACACACACACACACACACACACACAAAAAAAAATACTCCCTCTCTCTCTCTCTCTCTCTCACACACACACACACACACACACACACACACACACACACAATACTCACACACACAACCATAACTAAATACTTCTTGAATTATATAATATTACTGTCATATATTGATACATTAAAACATTTATATTTTCATAGAAATATACATGCCATTCATCCGTGCCGACGTGAGCACGGAGCGATATGCAACATTGAGTCAGTACTAATCATGGCATATATAATATTCAATTGTTTGCAGCTACTATGTTACTATGCAACTTCTGAGAACGTTTTAGAAATAAAGGTTTTTGAATATAATTTTATCACAACCTGTTTCGAGAAAACACTTATGGCACATCTACATGTGAGTATCTTATCTTCCAAGCGGTTCATACGAATCGGTTTGGGTTTTAGTTAAATTGGACAATCCAGGTAAAATGTATTTAATCTACTTTCAAGGGCCTGCAGGCTGTGTCCTATGACGCTGTAAGCAGAAGGTACGCGGTCTTCGGTAACTACACCGAGGGTCAGTACGCCGACTTCAAAGTCATCTACGACTACGCGGCGGTAAGGGATGAAGTTTATATTTCACTTTTAGTAAATATATTGTACCTAATGAAGTCGATATATTTCATTTAATACCATAGATACAAATATGACATTTTGGAGCTCGATTGTCACATGTTGTCTTTGTACAAAGGCATTGAAAACAGTTCATTGTCATGTCACATAAGGCCACAAGGTTGCGCTGAACTCGTGTGACCGCCCCGGGCAGAAATCACGGCTCTGCATCTCCCCGGCACTGACTGGATAAGTGTAGGAATTCTGTCCTGCGGAATTCTGCGCCATTCTGCTTGTAACGCGTTGGCCAGTTGTGGGAGTGTTTGCGGTGTGTTCTAACGTTGACGCACACGTCGATCGAATTCATCCCAGAAGTGTTCGATTAGGTTGAGATCTGGAGATCTCGACGAACAGGAGAAAACGTTGATGTTGGCATTATGAAGGTAGTCTAGCGTGAAACGAGCTGTCTGCGGTGTGGTGTTGTCATGCTGAAACAGCTCCCACTAGCGGTCCATGATTGGAAGAAGGTGCGGTTGAAGAATTTGATTCAAGTAGCGATTTGCTGTCAAATTTCCCTGAACTACAACCAAGTTAGATCTGGTAGTGTAGGATATGCCCCCCCCCCCCCCCCCCCCCCCCAACACACACACACACACACACAATGACACTACCACCACCGAATCTGTCGAATTCACGTACACAATGTGGGGCTAAACGATCATTTCGACGACGATAAATACGTTGTCTTAAATCTCGCCGGTGAAGAAGAAATCGTGATTCATCACTAAACCACAGTCGTCTCCAGTTTCTCAAACTCCAAGGCTGTGAGGTATGGCACCAACACAAGCGTCGCTGTCGATGGATCTGTTGCAAAACAGGGACGATAACTGGTCCTCTGGGTTGGATTCCAGCCTCGCGAAGATGGTTCCTGACAGTCTGGTCCGATATCCTCCTCAACCTAGGGATGCGCCCTGCAGTCTCCGTGGCTGTGGCATTGCGATGACGTAGGTGGAACAGTCGAATGTAGCGATCCTGTGCAGGGGTAGTAACTCTTGGTCAGCCGGTTCTCGGGTGGTCTGCACTGGAATTGAACTGTGTGTATCGGTCACAAAGGCGGCAAATGGTGCTGTTGTGGACGTTGAAGTGGCGTGCAACAGAAGACTGCTATTTCTCTCTTTAGAGGGGCGGTCGGGTAGCCTTGTGGTTAAAGCGTTCGCTCGTCACGCCGAAGACCCGGGTTCGATTCCCGACATGGGTACAATGTGTGAAGCCCATTTCTGGTGTCCCCCGCCGTGATATTGCTGGAATATTGCTAAAAGCGGCGTAAAACCATACTCACTCACTCTCTTTAGATACCTCCTATGGCAATGTTCCGATCGGCAACGCTGAGTCTCGGCATTTTCGAACTTGAAAAATGTTGATCATTGAATGACAAAATATTGACTTATGCCTGCTTTTTTCAAAGCCACTACCACGAGTTACAAATGCCATAACTTGCACGTGCATTTTGCTGTTTTCCTCCATGATATTTTTTTAACAAGTGTGAAAACAATGGCATAGCCGTTTAAGAAATTGCAAAACGACAAAGGCTGCGTTTTGACTCACCGTTTGTCGAATATCAGGCCACCAACATTTTCCAAACACATATATCCAATTTATATACCGGATATATACTACTACTAATACAGCCACTACTACTGCTTCTACTACTACTACTACTGATACTACTACCACTGCTGCTGCTACTACTACTACTACTACTACTACTACTGCTGCGTTACTGCTACTACTGCTGCTACTGACACTACTACTACTACTAATGATACTGCTACTTCTACTACAACTCCTTCTACTGCTGTTACTGCTACTACTGACACTACTACTACTACTGCTTCTACTACTGATACTACTACTGATACTACTACTACTGATACTACTTCTGCTACTACTTCCACTGTTACTACAACTGATACGTTTACTGCTACTACTGCTATTACAAACACGACCACACCTACCACAGCCACCTCTTTTATCAACATGATTAAAGCTTCTGCTACAACTACCAACGCCACACCTACTACAACCACCTCTTTTATCATCGCCATCAAAGCCTCTACTACTAATACTACTGCTTCAATGTATACAATTAATATCCTGAAATAACTCTAGTAGATGGATATGGATAGTGTTACAGATTAAACGCGTTAGATAATAGTTCCTGGTTTAAAGGAACAGGAGACGTCACAGATTCCTATTCTTTTTCCTATCGGACAGATCAAGTTGTCTACCTATGACCAGATCACGCTGAAGACCAAACCATGACTTGTCAAATTGGATGAAAACACTGTTATCTTGATATTTAGATTTCTTTCTTTATAAAAACTAAACTAGTTTCCAAAAGAAACGATACCAACTTATTTTCAAAATTGTTTTTTACTAAGTGAATTGTCTAGTATGAAAACATGCCAATTCGTATTGCACATCCCAAACACAGCATAGGCGATAAAAAATACCGGGAACACGTGATCACTTCCGGGAAAAAACGTAAATTTCGTGAAAGTGACATTTCCCTCTCTAGCATGTTCTGCACGTGCATAAAAACTGTATAAAACGGCTGATCAGACACGTTGATATCACAGCAACAAAAAGAACACAAGATATGCCACGTTTGACAGCCATCGAGAGAGAGAGAGCCGTTGGAATGGTCCAACACGGAGCGTCACACGTCGACGTCGCCAGAAGGTTGGGCTGCGCACGCATCACTATCACCAGGTTGATGCAGCGGTTACGTCAGACAGGTCAGACGTCAGACAGGCCCAGGAGTGGAAGACCACGAGTAACCACGCCCCGTGAAGATCGTTACATCCGGGTAATACACCTGAGGAACCGCACCGTAACAGCGACGTCCACGGCGGCTACAGCACTGGGACACAGGATCAGTCGACAGACCGTCTACAGGGGACTACGGCAGTATGGTATCCGACCACGTCATCCCTACCGCGGACCGCTCCTGACGCCTCGACACCGGAACAACAGACTGATCTGGGCCAGGCGAGTTCGACGTTGGCAACGGCGGGACTGGGCACGTGTTATGTTCTCTGATGAGAGCAGATTCCTCATCTTCAGAAACGATGGACGGCAGCTTGTATACCGACGATTTGGTGAACGTTTGGCGCCTAACTGTATCCAACAGGTCCGGCCGTTTGGAGGTGGAGGGTTAATGGTTTGGGGTGGCATATGTGGTGACGTCAAAACGATGCTTGTCGTAATTCGTGGTAACCTGAATGCACAGCGTTATCTTGATGACATCCTACGGCCTGTTGTGGTGCCCTTTATTCAGCAACAGCCTCGTTGACTCCTTTTCCAACATGACAATGCAAGGCCACACACAGCAAGATTGACACAGAACTTCCTTGCCAACGCCAACGTACAGGTTTTGCCATGGTCCGCATGTTCACCGGACATGAATCCCATCGAGCACTTATGGGACCACCTCGATCGGCAAATCCGACGTCGCCGTGTGCCTCCAGTCAACATCCAAGACTTGGAACGATGTCTCCTCGAGGAATGGCAACGCATCACTCCCAACGTCATCAGATGTTTGACGTCATCAGTCCGTAGGCATGTTCTGGCATGTATTGATGCTCACGGTGGACATACCCGCTACTGACTTGACTTTGAGACGTGTGGTGTGACATTTCCCGTTGTTTCTGTGATCAGTGCTCTAACGAAATGTTCATTTTTCGACCCCACCCATCTTTAAAGGCTTGTCATATTGGTTGTACAGATTTTATTGAAATGAAATTTTTGTACAGATGTTGTGAAAGGATTTCTCAAAAGCATAACACCAATCCTAAACTTCTGCATTGTTTAGTTTTTCTTTTATGTCGTTGCAAACAGGTGGTATCGTTTCTTTGGACACTAGTTTAATATGCCACCTGGAAGTCGGTGTGAATCTTCACTGTGGGTTTATCACATGTTTCATGGTCACTGAACAGCTGTTTTAAGTCAAAGTTGTTAATGCAACTTTCAGTAATTCCAATAATATCCAAACTATATTATAATATAATTAATAAAGTTTAAATTTATGAGTTATACTAGATGTTCCAGAATAGAAAGTTTATGAAGTTTTCTTCATTATCACAAGAGTAATTCAAATCATCTTGGTGCGTCGTAAAATCTCGACCCTGGCCACACCCCAATCTGGACCGTCCCCCAGCCGAGGGGCGGGGACGTGAGTGTGTAAGAGGTTGACGTAGTGTGGTGCTCTGATGTGTGTCTCGTTCTAATCCTGTGGCATCATTCTTCCTGAAAGATTGAAATGGAGTTTTGACTTCTTACCTTCTCTCGTCCTTCCCCCCTCCTCCTCAAGCTTACTTCCTTTATCTTCTATCCGGGTTATCTGCTCGAAGTCGCTGTAAATCCTGCCTCTGGTTGGTAGTCAGGCAAGTGGCTATACCCTCCCCACCCTCTCCCCCCTCAGTATTCATTCGGACCTTCGGGGGCCCACACAGCACGGTATTATTTCTTCTATTTCGACGGTCTTGACGTCCGAGTCATAAAGCAGCTTTCCGTCATCATCTTTCAACATCTTTTCTGAACTCACTCGCATCACATTGGATAGACCTCACTTCGTCTCTTTTGCATTAATTGCTTTATACAGTCTTTCTTCTGAATCCATCATGTGACTGATAATGGCAGTTTTCAGTTAATCAAAACCGGTAGGCCCTTGGATTGATTCTGTATCTCCCGAATTTGCAATACGTAGTGTGACAAAAGGGCCACTATATCCACTTATGGACATGTAAACGAACCCGTCTGTCCAAGGGAAAAATTACAGATATGTCAGTGTGACAGATACATCCTGCATGAAAAGTGATGAACACTTCCTAGATTTAACATACCGCATTTCTGTCTTTTTTCTTGGACACGTCTATTACCCGAGGAAGATAATTTTAGACATGACACCAGGGTTAATGTTTCAGGGAGTTGAATACCGCATTACCCCCGGGAGTAGATCGTGCGAGACAATCGCCATAACGGAAAAGTTCAAGGATACATGTGTCCCAGGTACGTCGCGGATTTCAATGACGATACGTATGACACATGTGCGTCCCATGTACGTCTTGGCATGGACTGACATGAAGGGTGACCTCAGTGTCGACCAGATACGTCCAGGTATCTAATGACAGGACGGATGACCTCAATGTGTCCCGAGAACATCTGACAACAGGCATGTAGTTCCAGGACGGATGACCTCAATGTGTCCTGAGAACGTCTAACAACAGACATGTAATGACGGGACAGATTAATTCAGTGTGTCACGAGAACGTCTAAGAACGTACATTTAATCACAGGACTGGTGACCTCAATGTGTCCAGAGAACACTTAACAACAGACATGTAACGACAGAACATGTGACCTCAATGTGTCCCGAGAACGTCTTATAACAGACATGTAATTGCAGGACGGGTGACCTCAATGTGTCCAGAGAACGTCCATCAACAAACATGTAACGACAGGACGGGTGTCCTCAGTGTGTCCCGAGAACGTCTATTAAGTGACATGTAATAACAGGACGGTTGACCTCAATGTGTCCAGAGAACGTCTAACAACAAATATGCAAGAAAAGGACGGGTGACGTCAGTGTGTCCCGAGAACGTCTAACAACAGACGTGTAATAACAGGACGGTTGACCTCAATGTGTCCCGAGAACGTCTTACAACAAATATGCAAGAACAGGACGGGTGACGTCAGTGTGTCCCGAGAACGTCTAACAACAGACGTGTAATAACAGGACGGTTGACCTCAATGTGTCCCGAGAACGTCTTACCACAAATATGCAAGAACAGGACGGGTGACCTCAATCTGTCCCGAGAACGCCTAACAACAGACATGTAATGACAGGACGGGTGACCTCAATGAGTCCGAAGAACGTCTAACAACAGACATGTAATGACAGGACGGGTGACCTCAGTGTGCCCCGAGAACGTCCATCAACAGACATGTAATGACAGGACGGGTAACACCAGTGTGTCCCGAGAACGTCTATCAACAGACATGTAATAACAGGACGGTTGACCTCAATGTGTCCTGAGAACGTCTTACAACAGACGTATAATAACAGGACGGGTGACCTCAGCGTGTCCCGAGAACGTCTAACAACAAATATGCAAGAACAGGACGGGTGACCTCTGCGTGTCCCGAGAACGTCTAACAAGAAATATGCAAGAACAGGACGGGTGACCTCAGTGTGTCCCGATAACGTCTAACAACAAACATTTCATGACGGGACGGGTGACGTCAGTTTGTCCCGAGAAAGTCTAACAACAAACATGTAATGACAGGACGGGTGACATCAATGTGTCTCGAGAACGTCCAACAAGAGACATGTAATAACTGGAAGGGTTATCTTGACTTCAGTGTGTCCCGAGAACGTCCATCAACAGACATGTAATGACAGGACGGGTGTCCTCAGTGTGTCCCGAGAACGTCTATCAACAGACATGTAATGACAGGACGGGTAACATCAGTGTGTCCCGAGAACGTCTAACAAAAAAATATGCAAGAACAGGACGGGTGACGTCAACGTGTCCAGAGAACGTCTATCAACAGACATGTAATAACAGGTAGGTTGACCTCAATGTGTCCCGAGAACGTCTTACAACAACTATGCAAGAACAGGACGGGTGACGTCATCGTGTCCCAAGAACAACAGACATATAATGACAGGACGGGTGACGTCAGTTTGTCTCGAGAAAGTCTAACCAGAGACATGTAATAACTGGAAGGGTTATCATGACTTCAGTGTGTCCCGAGAACGTCTTACAGCAGACATGTAATAACAGGACTGGTGACCTCAATGTGTCCCGAGAACGTCCAACAACAGACATGTAATAACTGGAAGGGTTATCATGACTTCAGTGTGTCCCGAGAACGTCTTACAGCCGACATGTAATAACAGGACTGGTGACCTCAATGTGTCCCGAGAACGTCCAACAACAGACATGTAATAACTGGAAGGGTTATCATGACTTCAGTGTGTCCCGAGAACGTCTTACAGCAGACATGTGATAACAGGACGGGTGACATCAATGTGCCACGAGAACGTCCATCAACAGACATGTAATAACAGGACGGTCGACATCAGTGTGTCCCGAAAATGTCAAACAACAGATATATAATGACAGGACGGTTGACCTCAATGTGTACCGAGAACGTCTTACAACAGACGTGTAATAACAGGACGGATGACCTCAGCGTGTCCAGAGAACGTTTTACAACAGACATGTTATAACAGGACGGTCGACATCAGTGTGTCACGAGAACGTCTAACAACAGACATATAATGACAGGACGGGTGACATCAATGTGTCCCGAGAACGTCTAACAACAGACATATAATGACAGGACGGGTGACATCAATGTGTCCCGAGAACGTCCATCAACAGACATGTAATAGCAGGACGGGTGACATCAGTGTGTCCCGAAAACGTCAAACAACAGACGTGTAATGACAGGACGGATGACCTCAATGTGTCCCGAGAATGTCTTACAACAGATATATAATGACAGGACGGGTGACCTCAATGTGCCACGAGAACGTCAAACAACAGACATGTAATAAAAGGACGGTTGACCTCAATGTGTCCCGAGAACGTCTTACAACAGACATGTAATAAAAGGACGGTTGACCACAATGTGTCACGAGAACGTCTAACAACAGACATGTAATAACAGGACGGGTGACATCAATGTGTCCCGAGAACGTCCATCAACAAATATGCAAGAACAGGACGGGTGACGTCAGTGTGTCCCGAGAATGTCTAACAACAGACGTGTAATAACAGGACGGTTGACCTCAATGTGTCCCGAGAACGTCTTACAACAGATATATAATGACAGGACGGGTGACCTCAATGAGCCACGAGAACGTCTTACAACAAATATGCAAAAACAGGACGGGTGACCACAATGTGTCCCGAGAACGTCTAACAACAGACATGTAATGACAGGACGGGTGACATCAGTGTGTCCCGAAAACGTCAAACAACAGACATGTAATGACAGGACAGATGACCTCAATGTGACCCGAGAACGTCTTACAACAGATATATAATGACAGGACGGGTGACCTCAATGAGTCACGAGAACGTCTTACAACAAATATGCAAAAACAGGACGGGTGACCTCAATGTGTCCCGAGAACGTCTAACAACAGACATGTAATGACAGGACGGGTGACCTCAATGTGTCCGAAGAACGTCTCACAACAGACATGTAATGACAGGACAGGTGACCTCAATGTGTCCCGAGAACGTCTTACAACAGACGTGTAATAACAGGACGGGTGACCTCAGCGTGTCCAGAGAACGTTTTACAACAGACACGTAAACAGGACGGTCGACATCAGTGTGTCCCGAAAACGTCAAACAACAGACATGTAATGACAGGACGGGTGACCTCAATGTGTCCCGAGAACGTCTTACAACAGAAATATAATGACAGGACGGGTGACCTCAATGTGCCACGAGAACGTCAAACAACAGACATGTAATAATAGGACGGTTGACCTCAATGTGTCCCGAGAACGTCTTACAACAGACGTGTAATAACAGGACGGATGACCTCAGCGTGTCCAGAGAACGTTTTACAACAGACATGTTATAACAGGACGGATGACCTCAGCGTGTCCAGAGAACGATTTACAACAGACATGTTATAACAGGACGGTCGACATCAGTGTGTCACGAGAACGTCTAACAACAGACATATAATGACAGGACGGGTGACATCAATGTGTCCCAAAAACGTCTAACAACAGACATGTAATGACAGGACGGGTGACATCGATGTGTCCCGAAAACGTCTAACAACAGATTTGTTATGACAGGACGGGTGACATCAATGTGTCCCGAGATCGTTCAACAACAAACATGTTATGACAGGACGGTAACGGCAGTTTGTTGAGTACTGGACAGAGATTGTGTTTGGGCAGATAGTCATTCATTTAGGGGGGAGACTGACATGTTAAGGACAGTGTGACAACAATGATATTGATATCGAACTAATCCATTGTCCGGCTTTAAAACACATTTTCTAAGATAACCTTAAGTTCAAAACAGGCACGTGTCTTAAGATAGCTCTTTAATCGAGTTCTATTGTTATATCGGTATCGTACGTATTTCGCAGATGGTGCCGCTCTGATGGGACCCTTCACCTTCGGCTTAGGTAGGACGACCCTTGACACCCGGGGATACAGATACTCCACCAAAAACAAAGGCGTCACCACTGACGTCACCATGGTCGTACAACGTGATAGATGTGTACCCGTCATCATAAACACAATCACCGCGGCCAGTACTGGTAGGTACACTCACACAACGAACTCATGTTTCAAGTTTAGGTTATCAAGTGATTTGTTTTGGTACAGTGTTTTGTTCATTTGTTGTTTAGCGCCGCACTGGGCAGTATTCCAGCTTTATGATGGCGACCAGTAAATAATCAGCTTTGGACCTGTCATGCCAGTGATTTATGATATGAGCAACGATCCCCTCCGCACACATTTAAGTCCCCCAGGATGACCACCCGATTTTACGATCAGCATAGGATGCTGGGGAGCTATTCTTACCCGGAATCCCTAAGGGTGTTTTTGCATTATGGGTAATAACTATCCGGAGGAAACTGAAGGAAACTGTGGGTATATTTCAGGTGACTCCTTAGTATCTATCGGCTACAATAACATGAGCCCCGGCATCAGGGACGTCACTGTCTTCTCCCCTCCGGCATACTGTGGGAAGGTAAAACAGATGTAACGACATCATCCAGGTGAAAGCTCTATTTTATCTCTATTAGTATATACTAATAGTATGTGTACTTATATTACGCATACCGCCATACACAAGATGTATGCTCAAACATTATTACCCCGGTCAATGGATCAGTGTGCGCTTGATATTCATTGTCAGCTCTCTGGGGATTATGTCAATTAGAAACTGGAGTTCGCATGTTTGGTAATTTGTCTATCCTTGGAATGTCGGTGATAGAATAAGTATACATTGTAGATTAAGTCTATACACACGCTGATTATATGCTATATAATTGTGAGATAAAGATTACTATAACAAAAGTAAATAATGTATGAAATATATATATATTTCACCATGTGAATTAATCATTGGGCATAAAGATGCCCAAATGTGACAGTCTATTTTGGCGTTGGTAATCACTCACTTAACCTTCCAGAATTACATGTAACCCAATTCCCTTATCTTCCAGGGAGGAAAGAACACCTTTCAGAACCCTCAACAGAGATTCAACGTTGTTCACTTTTAAGTCAACCTCATATATTTGACGTTTCTGGTGTCCCCCGCCGTGATATTGCTAGAATAATGCTTTAAGCGGCGTAAAACCCTACTCACTCAATCATATATTTTACAAGAGCCGATTCCTCTTTTGTGTTGGTCAGTTTATGTGCAAATATATTTCAGTGGTTTTGTATCCCTTTCTGTGAAAGTTAAAAGGTTTCTTTTCTACTTAAAATTAAGGATGAAGTAAATCTCCAAGTCAAACGAAATGTGTGAACTTCTGTATTTAGTCTAACTTCTGTGTCATAACGGTGCACGCCATCAAATAAAAACATTTATTCAAAGCCATGCTGTTGCTGGTGTTTGTGTTGCCATCTCTCGGAGACGGTAATACAGCCTATAGTCAGTGGTATCACCATCGTTTGCCAAACGCCAAGGTTTTGGTTCGGTTTGGTTTGTTGTTTTACGCCGCACTCAGCACTATTCCAGTTATATGACGGCGGTCTGTAAATAATCGAGTCTGGACCAAACAATCCAGTGATTACCATCATGAACATCGATCCACGCAATTGGGATCGATGACATGCATCAACCAAGTCAGCGAGCCTGACCACCCGATCCCGTTAGTCGCCTCTTACGACAAGCATAGTCGCCTATTACGGCAAGCATGGGTTGCTGAAGACCTATTCTACCCCGGATCTTCACGGGTCGCCAAACGCCAAGGACAAACCCTCATTTTACCTCAATGAGGTTATCGGCATGGTGTCGTCCAAACCGGTACTGTTTCATCAGAGACAATAGAGTTAAGACGGATGATAGAGTTCCAGTGCAAGACCTAAAAGCATGGATTCATACAGGAAAGACCATTCGTAGTTCACAGTAGCCTCGAGCCATCCAACCATAGTATTCAGATAGCATTATGTATTGTCACATTTACAGATGTTATTAAATGTTCGATGTCCGGAAATGTCCTTTTGTTTTGTTTGTTCGTTTGTTATTCAACGCCACACTCAGATATATTACTGGCGACGGTGTGTAAATCACAATGTCTGGACCAGACAGTCCACTCATTGACTCCATGAGCATGGATACTCGCAATTGGGATACGGTGACACGCATTCAACCAGGCCACCCGTTCCACTGATTTCGGCTCCTGCGACCAGTATACGTGCAGGTTGTTGGGGACCTATTGGTACTCGGGACCCCGAAGGGGGTGAACCAGCAGTTGTAAAAGTACTAACAGAAATAGTGAAGAATTGATGTCTGAGAGGTTGCATTTCCGTCGTTGTGAGCAGTATTTCAGTTATATCACAGCAAGATATAGGAGGAGGTGAGGTGAAATCCTGCTTCATGTCACTAACATAGCGACGAGTGGCTGTACTATCATGCATCCGTTTAACATGACTACAAGGGGCACGGGTGGCCCACTCGTCTAAGGCGCCGCGATTCGCTGTGCAGAGTTGCGTCCCTTGGGCACGCCAGAAACCTCTGATTGTGGGTTCGAATCCCGGTTCGCCCCGATAATGTTTCTAGGTTTGTCAGCACCATACCCGTGCTCGTGGGTTTCACCGAAGTGGTAAACGTCTGAGACCTGCATCACTTCGGGCTTTCCTCCTACATTAAGCTGACACGCCGCGATATAACTGGAATAGTGTTAAAAGCGGCGTTAAACTCAACTCACTCACTCATGACTACAACACTCAGTTACTGACCCCGAGCTGTTGAGTCCTTGTTTTAACCCCCTTTCAGCCGAGCGCCATACAACTGAACAAAATCTTTTAAAAGTCATTTTGTATGACGCGGCCAGGTGATCGAACCACCGACCTTCTGCCCTCTGCAGACGCTCTATCCACTAGAGCGTCACGGCCATTGTTTACCGTAAATAACAATACTCCCCTATTGTTATGTTGTTGTTCTTCGGCATGCCAACATGCACACACCACCACACATATCCATTGTCGATATCGAAGGTATTACGGGCAATTTCAGGCACATCGAGGAACACTCAGCTGGACCTCTACAAATCATCTATCAGATCAAAAATGGACTATGGTTGTGAGGTCTTTCACTCAGCATCAAATACTGTCTTGCGCCGCCCCGTCAGAATACAATACAAAACCCTAATGCTGGCCACAGGTGCCGCAATAGGTACTTCACTAGAAGCACTACAAGCAGAAACAGGAGAACTCCCATTGAAGCTAAGAAAAGAGCAGGCAATATTATGGTTCTGTGTGTGCAACACCGGTGCCGCAATAGGTACTTCACTAGAAGCACTACAAGTAGAAACAGGAGAACTCCCATTGAAGCTAAGAAAAGAGCAGGCAATATTATCGTTCTGGGGACGAACATTAAACGCTTTGGTGAAAAGATCTGGCAAGACAAAAACACCAGAGATGAAGCCCCAGATCGGAAAGCTTCACGAAAACCATCTGGGATATTAGTGCGTGAACTAACCCGAAGTCACAATTGTGATGACATTCAGCCTCCAGAAAGCCCTGGACTTTAAAAAAATCCCAAAGTTGACACTGCTTTAATATCAGAAGTCACTGAAACAGAAAAACCCATATATCTTCAATTATTACTATTATTATCTAATTGTTTGATGCTATGCCTTGTATAAAACATGTCAAAGTATACGAGTTTTGTATATAATTCCTATTACAAATAAAATGTATTACTTGTGGCTTGAAATCCCTGATTATTTGATAAAATCTGTAAATTCTTTCCAGGGAAGTGGGTCTTTGTAACTAGGTTTCACTTCACATAATACTTAACAATCATATATTGTCTAATAGATTGTTGATTTAATGTTATCAATACCATAACCAGTTCCACATGCACACCACATTTGAGAATATATCCTGAAGGACACACGTACACCCTGCTGTGCAAAACCAACCCGAGGAGTCGTACCCACGATGTGGTACGTGGGGTACAGTGGTACTTGAGGAGTGGAGCTGTGTTTGTTGTTGTTGTTGTTGTTGTTGCTGCTGCTGCTGTTGCTTTACGTGTTGAAGAAAGCGCTTCTGCCTCAGCATTTTCGGCTGACCTGTCCCTCCATGTGAGTAGATTACACTCATCCGTGGCAAGTTTTGGTATTCATGGAATTTCTGTTTTGTATTGATATGATATCTATTTTCGTATATTGATATGATTACATTTTCATATCCGGTTGCTCTTTTTATATTCGTTCGTGTAGCTGTCCATCTCTCATTAATAGAGTTTGTTTGGCCTTCGGTACGGCATCTATAGGCTTTAGGAGATCGTCGACAGATCACTGATCTAACTGCAATTCTTGTTTTAACCGAGCCCGGGCTGGGGCATGGTCTTGACATTCCAGTTACAAGTGAGCAATGTGAGCAAGTGAGTATGTCTTTTTGTGGATGTTGGGTTGCAGTGTGTATAGCAATCTGCAGATCTTACTTGCGCCCCATTAGGCTTGCCATATTAGAGCTATGGAGGCTTTGATTTTGATTTTTATCTCTAGTTTGCTGTAGGGAATAAACTTATTATCAAGTATTGTTGTAAGACTATATAAGACGCATTTTTAATCAGTGTCATATCGATTTTATTTCAATTATTATAAGTTAGGATATGAAAGCTTTTCGATATGCTTGATCGTGACGATCTAAAACAAGCGCTTTATGTTCACTGCCTGTAAGTTGGTAATGTGATGTGTTTTAAATTAATGGTGTCTCTGTTTTATGTATTTGCAGTCTTTCGTTTATTTAATAAAGCGTATTTCTACTATGTATTTCGATATGCCTCGGTTATATCATAAACGGTATGCATTCACGGTTCACCGTATTCGTGGCTTATCCATCGATTTGGCGCTCCCGGTACCAATAGCAGCATCCCTCGAATTATGAGTTCGGCTTTCCCTGAAGTAGTTGTTATTGGCGTTCCCGGCCGAGAACCATCTCAGCTGAGGTTATACACGCATAACAGTGTTGAGATAATTAACTCAAGTGTTAATTGGTCACATCTGACTAAATTGGCTGTCAATGCCTCTTGTCTGTATCTTGTCAAAGTGTATTTTTTTCTACTCTCAATTTATTACTGTAATATAGTTGCTAGCTTAACCACTTACACATTTGCTCTGATTTAATTAATCAGTGATCTTTGTCTGGGCGGATTTGGTTTATCTAATGTTTTTATTGTCATCTACTGGTACAATTAATAGTTTGTAATAAACCTTTTTCATTTTTACTTTTTCTTGTTTAATTGTTTAATAACACTCCTGGTCGCTGGAGCACAGCCGCGTGATACCCATCATCCATGGGGCCACACAGGAATCGAAGCGCGACTTCATAACATTTTAAGGTGTACTGATGAGTTCCTCCCCCAAGATAATCCCTGATGCTGTCGTAATTCTGCGAGTTAAAGATAATAAGGGACGTCCATGACATTGCTTCTGACAAACTGTCCGATTTACGCTGCTTTGTAGTTAACCGGGTAATGTAAAGGAACTTATTAGTCCACGTAGAAGTAGTGTGAAATATATCAATCTTCGACCAAAGTGCCAGTTAGAGTAACCTCACTAAGAGACTTGATCTTTCGAGAAGTTTCGTGAGGTAACCGTTTCTGGACGGCTGGCTCTGCCTACATAAGGCGAGGGCGACTCAAGGCCTTCTACGACCTGACTTGCGTCTCATCATCTTGACGGTACCTAACTGAAAAGATCGACTTTCTGCCAGCTTCGCACACTGTTTCCGGGATTCAAGAACTGTGCACGTGCCACATGTAACAGTGAATTAATTTTGGATGTTCGTGACTATGCTTACATTTGTTAAAGGTCCTGTTATTTAGTTCACATATTCAAACCATTGTGTTGCTAGTTTTTATTGCAAGCCTAATCCTGTGTGTGGCAATATACTTTGTTAATTATTGATTGATCTTTTTTGGTTATCTGCTGACTTGACTTTGTAGTTCTGTACGTACGTACCGATATATCGGTTAATCTTCGCGTTTCAGTTTGGAAATCAACTCGCAACACAGGTAACAAGAAGTCTGCTTTTTGCTGGAAATATCTTCATGATATTTCAATGCCTACGTACGATGGTGGCGATAATGGTTCTCGATTATGAGTGGTATACTTGCTACTTAATCCTCCTCAGCATTGCGGTTGTTACGATTGCCGTTTTCATCTCGAAGCAGGGTTCTCGATATATCCGAAGTTATCTTCCCATAGCTCGTAGGGTTTTTGTGCACGGCGTTGTACTGTATAAAGAGGAAGTGGTTCACTTCAGGTTGCGTCAAAGTAAGGATCCCTTGGACTCATGTGGCTGTAACAGGAGTGAGTGAGTGAGTGAGTGAGTGAGTGAGTGAGTGAGTGAGTGACGTG